CAAACAAAGCCCCAGTCTGCTGTTTGAGCTAAATTTGGACAGAAAAGTGACAGGATGGATAATTTAAAAATAACTATTTACTGAGTCTTTTCCTTTTGCGGGACAGTTTAGTGAACAATAGTCCACTCTAATGTATTTTCTGTTATTAGAAAATACATTAGAGTTCGGCTTTTAGCTCCAAACAAAGCCCCAGGCTGCTGTTTGAGCTAAATTTGGACAGAAAAGCGGCAGGATGGAGCCAATTGGGGTCTTCTCCCCACATCCTCTATCCGGTGGTAGCTTTATCGCTTCATGAAGTTGTCCAGGGAGGCGGGCGTCCTCTGGATGGAGTGGATGTTCCTCTTGACTCGGTCCTCCAGGGAGGAGCTGGCGGCGCTCTCCAGCTTCATGTCACTGCAGAAAGGGGGGGGAAGAGGGGGGTTGGGGGGGGGGGGTTGGGTCTGGAGGAAGAGGAGAAGGAGCCCGTCTGAACCTACTACAGTTGTCAAAAGTATCGATACTCGTAAAATACTAAAATAATTTGGGCTTACTCCTGGAAAATAGAGAAACTGTTGTTATTGTTGTATTTGTTGTTTGTTCTCAGGGTGGGTGGGGTGAGGGATATTGTTCTCTTTTTCTCATATATTTTGTATGTAATAAGTGCTGCTCTAAAATATCCTATAAAAACCTGGCATGCAAGGAAAGAAGCTGAATATTGGACATTAACTTAACTACCCTGGACTTTCCTCTGATGTGGGAGCACACTTGTGCCTTGTGTATTGTTGGAAACACTGTTGAAAAAAACAATAAAGATAATGTTGGAAAAAAAAAAAAGTATCGATACTCGAAAAAGTATCGATACTAAAATGTTGTATCCGGATACGATACTCATTTCAAAAGTATCGACACGACCCTCCCCCTTCTCTTTATGTATTTATTTACGTTGTTTATGATCGTTAACCAGACGTTAGCCTTGCTAGCTGCGGCTAATGGCTAATAACAACATGCTACCCATAATCAAGTACATATCAAACTCCCCCACATCCATCGGCCATTTTGATTAGGTCACCAATAGGAAGATCCCAGGCAAGAAAATCCTACTTGCTTCATGGCAACATAGACATTCATTTAAATAGTAATAGTGAAATTAATCTTGCAAACACTTAATTAAACTCTATCCATAATATTATGGTAAAATAGTGGATGTTAAATAGGTTTGTAAAATAAGTCCAAACAAGTTTAACCAAAAAATATTTATTTCTCACAATTATGAAGGCTGGAGGGTTAGGGCTAGGGTTAGGGTTAGGGTCATTAATGCGGGCCTCCAGTCACGATAACATCAGTAACAGGTCAGTTTTAAATGAAAGACATAATTCAGTTCAATTTTGGGGTCTTTGTTTTTATCCTTGTGGTATCAAAAATGGTATCGAGTATTTTCCTGAGTATCGGTATCGAGTTGAAAACTTTAGTATCGTGACAACCCTGTTAAAAGGAAGTTTTTCCTTGCCTGTGTCGCCTAGTGCTTGCTCATGGTGGGAATTGTTGGGTTTCTGTAATTAACTTCAGAGTAGGGTCTGACCTGCTCTGTTTGGAAAGCTGTGAGACAACTGTTGTTGTGATGTGGCGCTATATAAATAAAATTTAATTAAATTGAACCCTAGGACCTACTGGATGAATCCGGCGTGGCGGTCCCGTTTGGCGCTCCTCTCCCTCTGCTGCTCCTGCTCCTCCTGCCTCTTGTACCTCCTCACGTTGTTCTCCCGGTCCTCCTCCCTCTGCTGCGCCTGCTCCATCATCTCCCGCCGCCGCTGCTCCAGCTCCGCCGCAGACAGCTTCCTGTGTGGCCGTAAAATAGCCAATTAGAGCGTGAATTAAAGTGTAAATGACAGCATAAATTAGAGAGTAAATTAGCCTTTGCTAATTAGCCTAGCGTGAATATCTGGATCGGATAAAATGCAGATCCAGACTCCAGATCCAGTTTTTTTTATCCGTGTTTTCCAGCATAGCAATTAAAATGTCAATTAGTCAATAAGAGAGTAAACTAGAGAGTAAATTAGAGCGTTAACTAGAGAATAAATTAGAGCGTAAATTAGAGAGTAAATCAGAGAGTAAATCAGAGAGTCAATTAGAGCGTAAACTAGAGAGTAAATTAGAGAGTAAATTAGAGAGTAAATCAGAGAGTGAATTAGAGAGTAAATTAGAGAGTAAATTAGAGAGTTAATTAAAGCGTAAATTAGCCTTAATTAGCGTGAATATCTGGATCGGATCGTCCGGCAGGATAAAATGCAGATCCAGACTCCAGATCCATTTTTTTTTTATCCGTGTTTTCCAGCATAGCAATTAAAATGTCAATTTGAAGGTAAAAATGTCAGTTTAAGAACGAAAAAGACAAAGAGCTGGATGTTAAACAGAGTTCTGATGCTGAGTTAATAGACTGTTTTCCGGTCCCACACGAGCATTAGCATTAGCATTAGCATCTGTAACCACAGGTCTGTGTCCTAACCATTAAGTTGTTATCAGAGTAAATCCCTGTTCAACATGAGTCTGACAGCTAAGTAAGTAGATAAATAACTTTAGACTTTAACACATGCTCTGATAGGCCGGGATAGGTATTAGATCCGGAGAAGCCTAGCATAAATTGAACCTTAACCAGACGGCTGGCGTCCATTTTGACATTTTAAAGACATCTCTTGAGTTCAAACCAAACAGAGCATCTAAATATCTGGATATCTGGTCTTACTTGGACACGTAGTTCCTCTGCCGGCGGTACTGTGGGCTGGGAGCCCTGGGCTCCACCTTCCTGTCCCCTCGGAGGGGGGGGGGCTGGGAGCGACTGTCCCTGTGGTTCTGGTGAGGGGATCTGGATCTGGATCTGGATCTGGATCTGGACCGGCTCCTCTCTCTGCGCCCTGAGGCCGGCGGGTGTCGGCCATCGGGGATCTGAGAGGAAACGGCCAGAATGTGAACAGCAGAATCTGAGCGCCACCAACCAGCCACTGGAGCTCAGAACCACTAAAAGACTCAAAGTGGAGCTCAAAAACAGACTCTCCTCTCTTTTTTCTCCCACTATGAGCCCTCACCAAACCAGATCCTGCACAGTTTACAAATCTGATAACTGGAAAAAATCCTAAAACATACTTCAACATTTATACTTGTATTTATATATGAGAAGTTACACCTGCACAAGTATATGCTTATCTTAAAAGAAAAAAAAAGTGAACTGTATTCCTTATTGATATTATCTTATAATTTGTTTCAATAAAAATAACTTGAAAAAAAAAAAAATAATAATCCTAAAACAAAACAGATCCAACATGGGTTCACACAAAATTTAGAAAAATCCTAAAGCTCCATGGTGAGCTTGTTAAAACATCTGCATCACGCAGATTTGAAATCCCGGATAAGAAGCAGCGAGTCTTTTTTGTTCTTTTACCGTTTGTTTTGTTCAGTCGTCTCTTTCTCTGACCTGTAAAAACATGTAAACTAACATATAACCAGCATTTAAGGCCTTTAACCCTTTAAAGCCTGATCCAAGAAGAAAACAAAACAGAAATTTCCTTTTTTTTGGTTTGAATTTCTTATTTGGCCTTTGAACAAAATATGTAAAAAGAAAAAACAGAAATACATGTTTAATATTAATAGTTTATTACTATGCGATAAGTCCAGATTATTTTTGTGTAGTCTTCTGCCCCCTGTTATCAGGTGTATCTGATTGTGTACAATAGGATTTTGAGCAAAGTTTTTACCATTAAATTATGCAAAAGGTGTTAGACGCAAAACATTTCAGAAGCAGTATGAATCAAATTTGAAACATTTGGCATTACAGGGTTAAAGCCCCTCCGCCTCAAACAAACCAACATCTTGACACAAAAAGCCCTCCAAGCAAAGAAGAGCCACAGAAGAAGAGCTCTAAAAGGCCTTAAAACGCCTCAAATTAAAGAAATCCTTGATGTTATTTTAACGGCTGGTCTGTGAACAGAAGTCCCATCATGCACTGCAGCAGGCTCCCTGAGCTAACTGATATAAACCTGATTAAACCTTGACAGGCTGTGGGAGGAAGGGCTTAAAAAGAGCCAGTTTGAGGTCCTTTTTATCTTTAGAAATGAAAATAGCTCAGAAGTTATGGCTCCTGCATTTGTATTAGTAAGAATTCTCCTTTTTTAACCAGAGTTGGAGCTCATTTCCATTTTCATTTTGGCCCTTTTTAAAATATAAGGAAAGATGTTCATCTTATCCTAACTCCTCCCAGACCTCTGGACCCTCTATATTCCTCTTTCTGGGCTTCCTTCTTTCCTGTCTCCATTGATTCTGACTAGAGATTTTCCTCTAGAGAACTTATTGTCATGTTTATGATAACTGTAAAATTGTGTCTACTTTTTAAGTCGCTTTGGATAAAAACGTCTAAATGCAGAAACAGAAACAGAAATGCATGTTTTGTCTCCCACTTAGTGAATTCTGGAGGAGTGGAAACACCAAATCCGTCTTTACTGGACTGAACAAAGATGGTCCTCAGACCTGATTCTTTCCTTGTTTCAGAGGATGTTACCAACCTGTAGACCGTATCCTGGAATGTGATGGGAGCGAGGTTTAGAGCCTGTTGTCGATCTGTCTCTGGATCGTGGCCTAAAACCAGATCATAGAAGATATCCTCTTTATTTAATTTGTAGAATGAATATTCTCATTGTGAGTAAAAAGAGAAATTGAGTGAATTGCTCTTCAGAAAATGTCAGATTTGAACCCCTTTCAGTACCTGTGTTCATCATCTGAGCTTGAACTTGAACTCTTTTTCTTGTGTTTCTTTTCCTTCCTCCTCTCTCTGTCTTTCTTCTCCTTCTTTTCCTTCTTCCTCTTCTTTTTCTTGTCTTTCTTGTCAAGATTCTGCCGCAACTGGGGGGAATAAAACAGCTCATGTTAAACGTGCTATTAGACAGAGTTTATTTTGTCTGGACTCCAGCACAAAGCACATACCATCTCCTTTATTTTCTCCATCTTAACTGGATTGGTCAGGACCTCTCTCTTCTTTTCTTCTTCACGTTTCCTAATCAAAACAGAGGTAACACAACTACAGTCAACACCAAATTGTTTCACATCTTTCATGCTTTTAAACATTGGATTAATGAAAGAAAATATAAAAAAAGGGGAAGAAATAAAGATGATTGATCAATATTTGTTGTTATCATACATCTTTTATATATCATTTGATTTAAACTCGCTTTAGAAACCTAATTGTTGGGTTTCTGTAATTAACTTCAGAGTAGGGTCTGACCTGCTCTGTTTGGAAAGCTGTGAGACAACTGTTGTTGTGATGTGGAGCTATAGAAATGAAATTGAATTTAATTGAATTAATTTTAAATTTGTAATGTCATTGTCTGAGTGTGTGTTTGGACTGATTTTGTATTTTGTGATCTTGTGTTGTTTTGTCTTCCTGCCTCAGGACGATAGATGTAAACTAGCAACTATGCTATAATCTGGCTCATTTACAATCTGTATGAGATTGTTCATTATTTATTTATTTATTTAATCAGGACAGTGCACATTAATGAACAATCTCACGAACAAACACACGTTCAGACAATGACATTACAAAATTAAAATTAATTCAATTCAATTCAATTTCATTTATATAGCGCCACATCACAACAACAGTTCTCACAGCGCTTTCCAAACAGAGCAGGTCAGACCTACTCTGAAGTTAATTACAGAAACCCAACAATTCCCACCATGAGCAGCACTAGGCGACACAGGCAAGGAAAAACTTCCTTTAACAGGCAGAAACCTGGAGCAGTGCACTGTCTAACACTGTCGACTAACACTGTCCTGATTAAATAAATAAATAAATAAGATGCTCCCTGACAAAGTCGGCCTAACCGACCTGATTGCAAACAGGGGGTCTTCCCTGATCTTGGCGGCCAGATCCAGGGTGGAGGCGGGGGTCACGGGGTTGAAGATGGACCCGGGGAGGAGGCCGGTCTCGTTGGAGGGGCCGCTCTCGGGCTCCTCATACTGGTCTGTGATCTGCTTATCGATGGGGCGCCCCAGCAGATACTCATCCCTGGACACCTGGCCGGCGGGGCCCTGATACATCCAGTCCAAACGGTCGTCCTTTTTTCTGGAAAATACGACATGATGAAGACAGATCTCCATGGTCTGAAACACCAATTCCAGATAGTTGGAAGACTCACTTGATGGCCCCCGTTTCCTCAGCGAATCTGGTCATCTCTTCTCGAGCCCGCTCCTCCTTCAGCTCCTTCTGAAGCTCCTCGATCTTTTTGCGTTCAGCCTCATGTTTCTGCTCAGCTTTCCAAACACGTTCAATGTTTTTCATAGTCTGGGGATGCCAGCTTTTCTTCAAGTTCTGAGACAAGGAGAACAACAACATTTAGCTGTAACATGACACTGTAACTGTAACCACAATTTATAGAATTACCCAATAAAATTGTTTGTAAATCTGAACCTTTATTGGTAAATTCGGTAGAAAATATACATATAAAATGAGGAATAAAACTGGTTCTAAATTGTGACATGATACAGGTTAGCTACTGCTTGCTAACTACTGACAACCTTCGTTGCTGTGAAAAAGAAAAACACAATTCAGAAAACACTTTGCCGAACTGCTATGTGATCTTTTAAAAATGGGATTTTTGGTCAGTCAAGTTGTCAAAACTTGACAGACCATGAAAAACAAAGATAAATAATAAACGGCTAAATTCTCAATGAAGTTTGTCGCTGAGTATATATCTCCGCTTCCCCGGTTTAGATAATACTTACCAAATCCCCGCCTCCCATCTTGAAATATCTGTAGTTTCAGCCTATTCAGAAAATATATATTATCAAACTTGTTCGTAAACGATACAAAAAAGTCCGACCACCGAACGCAAACTGGAAAATGGAGACTATGTGACGCGTTTTTTTGTGTTTCCTGTTTACGTCGTTCCACTTCCGGTTGGAGATCTAGGTGCGTTCAAGGACCAAAATCAAGCTCCGATATTCCGCTTTTACTAGAGCCAAAGGTGCTTTTGACATTAAATTATATTTAAAAATGAACAAACTGTAATAATACATTTGTGGTTTAAACGTATTCGGTATTTTAAGGCATATTTTCTACCTAATGCTGAATTTTTTTACTTCTTTTCTTTTAGATAAATGTATTTAGTGTGCAGTTAAATCGGAACTTTCTAATGATAGAGCAAAATGGCATGAAACAGAATATAATGGGGATATTTCCTAAATGTTTCGGTGGAAGTCTTACACAGGAGTATTACCGTTTAATTTCTGAGACGTCTCCATGAAGAAGTTAAATGTGTACGACAGACAGTGGCACTTGTTTCTTTGTCTAAAAACTGGAGTGAGCACGTGAACGCCTCAGACCTGTCGACAGGCCAGCACATGATCTTTAGGTTTATGTGCCTCCTTTTCTTCTCTCCAAAATATAATCCCTCGTTGTTTTTTACATATTGGCCTTCAAGTTGTTGTTACCGTACTTTTTATGTTCCTGTCTCTTTGATGTAAACTTCCAGTCTGTCTGAGTGACTTTAAAAGCTGCTGTGTGAACATCTCCTGTTCTCTTCTGTTCATTGTTTACATGACTCCACTTTGTCAGCTAATCTGACAAAATGAGTGTAAATGATGACTCTCAGCTGTAAAAGCCGATAAAACCTGTGAATCCCCACTGCCTTGATCATTTTCATTATTGGTCCAACATTTCCATAAATCTAACTGCCAGAAGTCACTTGTTCTGATTCTGATTCATTACTTTTAGTTCTTCTTTTGGCAGCCTATTTTTTCATATTTAGAACATCTGAATATCATGTTATTTATTTTGTACCAATAAAGAGTGATTCCCTCTCACCTGGTTTGGTTTAAACTTTCTCCATCTTCTCCAATTTAATCAAAATCCAGGTTTATTTGTCTTATTCCTTATATTTATATTAAAATGTCCTTTAGCTGAAATTAAACTCACCTGTAATGTTCCCTCCACACCCCTGAGATCCACAGACTCTTAGACTACACAACCTACACACATCACATCAGAAACATTTTTATTTATCATCCTTTTTATTGTCTTTTCCCTGTGACTATCCGTTTTATGCTCAGTTGATGACTTCTCCAACATGACAATACATTTGTGTGTGGCTGATTAATTTGGGTAACATCCCAAACATTTAAGGGAGAAGAAGAGTTTATATATTCTTACTGGAACTTCTGTGATGTATAAGAGCAGTTTTCTATTTCCATAAATGGGAAACATAATGTTAATTACTGATAAGTTGTGAGAAAATACTGTTATGCATTTCTAATGGTATGTGCAAAGCAGATTTATGATTCTGATTCCTAAATAAGTGATTTCTTTCTCCAGTGGGGAGGCAGAAGAGTCCGTTAAAAAAAAGTTAAAAAAGACAACATGTGGACCATTAAAACTCAGACATGAACACAGCGTGTTTTTATTCTCTTTTAATAAAGGACAATCACAGATTAAATACAAGTTATTTCACCAACATATTTAAGTTATATTATTACAGTCTCCACAACTAAAACAGTTACTACAACCAATCTTAAAATCGTCAATAATATGAAATATATTTAAGTGTTTCTAAGAGCTTTAGCAAATAATATTACTAGTCAATGCACAATAATTGACTAATATAAGCACTGTCTTCAATATCTTATCATCTATACATAAATAAGACAACTTTGAGTCTACAATAATGCAAACTCCCTAAGATTTAAAAATCTGCCTATAGGTGATGGTTCACATCCTAATAGTGTAGAAAAGCTGCTCACACGGCC